CATAAATCAGTTAAATGACGAAAAATTAGGTGTCTATTTACTTGTGACCACTCAGTGTAGGTATGAAATGCGGATTGGTAGGTCTAAGCCTAAGTCAGTAAGAATGGTCAACTATATATATATCTTCTCTGAACGGAAATAATAAAATGAAGGTCTTATGCATTTTTTATTATAGAAATTATAGTGTTCTTGTCATTCCATTTAATTAATTTACAATAAATCAACCCACTCTAGGACTAAATTCACTAACATTATGGATTAAGTTATGAATTAGTAACGTATTCTAAATACATGCAATATTTAAAAAATGAGTTTTAACATGACAGTATGAACTTTTTAATGGAGGGAATACTTCGGTGAAACAAAAAAAAACTAAATTTACGTATGAACAAAAAGTACATTGTGACAAAAATGCTTGAATTTAAGCCACCTTTTGATTCTCGCTTAGATTTACTTTTCTAACTTTTAGTCTCAAAATCTATGTATGAATATTTCGTGTCCTTGGTAAAACCAGTTTACTAGGGAAAAAAACATTTTTTATCACTTTATTAATATGTTCGGTAAATAAAATTACGCATAAGCCTACGCAAACTAGTCTAGAAAAAGTTTGCAGAGAACACTTTCTCATCAAAAGCCAAATTACAACGCAACAAAATAGACTTGAAAAGTGTTGAAATAGGTGTAATGATAAAATAGCAATATAAAAAACACTCGTACTATTGTGGTAACTGTATACCACATATTATGTTTATTTGAACAGTTACTAAATACTGTCGCTTCTACTGTTTGATTTCATGAACATTTCCTCCTCGCCATAGAATACACTGAACAACTACGAGGTAATTCATCAGATTCCAGATTTCAATACTATTATGTTACATTATATGAAACCCTGAGATGAATTTAACTTCGGATCCTATGCAGACCACTATCGCATTGATTACCACATGTATTATTTTGCAAATGTCTAGACGCTCAGCTCTGAATGCCCTTGAGTCTCTGAAGTCAACGCCCATAAAAATGTCACTATTGATAAAGTAATATGAAGTCGCTTTCGGTACTTCTCAAACTGTTAGGTATATATTTTGTAAATAAATAATATAATTATATTAATAATATAATTATTAACTTCAAACGCTTATAATGAAAGTAAGAAAACACCACTAACAGCGAGATATCCAACAGAAGAATCAATGCATTCTCATCGTTAGAAGTTTTTATTTTGTGACACTTCACATTTTAGTTAAGCCTAATTAGCTATATTAATTATTGGGTTAATTTTTAGTTTTTGTCTACGCAGGTAAGTTGCTTTGATCAGAAGTTAATGATATCACAGGCCTGCGATGGTTTTATTGTCTTGACATTTTTACATGTTCTACAGTAATTCCTGTACGCTGAATCCGAAAATGATATCCATTTTTCTCCATCACCTACAGATTTTTCACAAAAAATCATATCGAAATACATAAAAGAAAGCCCACAACACGTAGTTTTGAGAGTAAAAGACGTAGATTTCACACAAAAAAATTCAGGAAGAATGAGGATGCATGCATATTCGTTTGATATCAATG